CACTAACAGCGGACAGCTTTAAGCAACTTAGCATTTATCATAATAAAAAGGGGGCAATTTGATTGTTCAAAACTATGAAAATTCTTTCTCTCTCAAACGTTTTACTGTACTTAAAAATTTCTAGTTTTCAACTGTTTTAATTTAATCATTTAATATTGAAAGTTTTCAACGTCATACCAGTTCGGTAAATACATAATCATATGAATGTTTTGAGTATAGCATAGACATCGAGACCGGACGAAGGGCCAGGGGAGGGGGGGGGGGCTTAGCCCTCCACTTATTTTGGAAAGATATATACATCGTATAAGCATTGAAAATGTAGCTTACCCTTTTGAGGTTTATTGCTCCCCTCCCCCGTTTGTTACCGACACCTACGTATTGGAAAGATAAAGATTTGGACTGAGGGATCTTATACCCGTCTTCTCCTCTTTTCGACGGGAGTAAATCAGTTCTTTTTTGAGGTTAGGGTTAGTTTTTTGAAAGATAAATAACAAATGAAATCTTTCCAGTACTAAAATATGATTTAGTATTTTTCAAAGTGCGTTAAGTGTGTCCATGGTAAAATATATTGATGTAGACTCTTAACGCACTTTGAAACATTTTTTCAAAGTGCGTTGAGTTGGTCCCAAATTTAACGCACTTTGAAAAATTTTTTCAAAGTGCGTTGATTTTGTCCCAATTTTAACGCACTTTGAAAAAAATTTTCAAAGTGCGTAATTTTTTCAAAGTGCGTTGCCACAGTGCTGAATGTGAATCCAGTCTTACAATATTTAAAGTGTTGAATGTGTCTCCAGTTTTACAATATTAAGTGTGTTGAATGTGTCTGCAGTCTTGCAATATTTAGTGTGTTGAACGTGTCTCCAGAATTAACAATATTAAGTGTAGTGAAAGTGTTTCCGTTCTTCCAATAATAATTGTACTGAATGTGTTTTCGGTCCCATACTATTTACTGTGTTGAATGGGTCTCCATTCTTATAATATTTATTGTGCTGAAAGTGTCTTCAGATTTTCAATATTTAGTGTGCTGAAAGTATATCCACTGTTAAAATACTTGGTGTGAATGTGTCCCAGGAATTCCAATACCGGTATTTAGTGTGCAGAAAGTGTTTTCGGTCTTAAAATAATTTATGTGCTAAAAGTGTCTCAAGTCTCACAATATTTATTACATGTATGCTCAATGTGTCTCAAGTCTTACCGTAATAAGTGTGTTACTGTGTTTTCAGTTTTGAAATACCGTATAAGTAGAATTTTTAGCGAGGATTTAATTTTGGCATTATTAGCAATGGGTGCTGACATCGCTAAAATTGAATAACGCTAAAAATTAATTGCGTATTATTTGTAATAGCTACTCTAGTAAGCATTTTAAAATCGCTAAACTTACTTCTCGCTAAAAATAAAATACCAGATTTTGGGTAGAAATCGCTAAATTTTCGTCTCGCTAAAATTTTCACTTATACGGTAGATATCGTGCGAAATGATATTCAAGTGTTACAAAATTTAGTTTCTTGCGTATCTCTCCTGTCTCACAAAATGTAGAGTGCTCAATGTGTTTCAATTATTATAATTCTAATATTTAGTGTGTTGAATGTTTTTTCAGACCTACCATTTTCAGTTTACATTATACTTCATACTTCTCTCCAGTTTAACAATATTTGACGTGCTTTTATTTCTAGGATTACAATATTTAATGTGTTGAATGTCTTTATACTCTTTATTCACCTAGGCAGTGTTTTGTGTGGGGTCTCGAGTGTTTAAGTCCTTTGTATACTGGCCCCAGCATCATGAAACATCTTATAAACTTAAGTCAAAATCTTTAAATTATACTTAAATATTGTAGAAGACAAGCAGACCCAAATTAAAATATGTTTCAAACATTCAATATTGATTCACAATCAAAAGTGTTGTTATTCAGAAATTTTAATATTAATTCAATAATGAATAAATATTTTACAGGGTTTGAAAATTTGACTTTTAAAAGTCTAAGTCTGTTTCTTGATCTTGGGGCCTGGATGATCGATCACTACCCTTACAACATTCAATGTGCAGAGTGTTTCCTGTTTGACAATATTTTGGGTAACTATTACGGTACGTATTGCGTATTTCAGTATGTAATCTGTTCTAGCATCCCTACTTCTACAATATTTGCGTACTGGGTCTATGCATTTGGATATTTAGAGAAACAAACTTACAATGAAGCCAAACAAAAATTTAATTGGTCAAGAAAAATATGCTGTTCAACACCGATTATATTATTGACCGGACACTATTCTAGATTTTCTTTAAAAAATATCCGGAGTTAAGGATTTGTGTTCGGGGATAAATTCCCTGTTTCTAAAACCTCTAAAGAGATGTTGCTGATTTTGTAATTAGACAGAGACCGGTATTTGTGTGGTTCTGAAGTGCTTTGGAGAGACGAAACCATTGATTTTCCTCCTCTTAACATGTTATCGAGAGAGAAGAAAAAACAAACAAGAATGTAGTGCTAATTGAATCCTGAGTGAGCTTAAGAATCGCCTTGTATCACCAACTTCTCCCAATCAACCCCAGCTTATAGATTCCCCTTCACTGGCAATCCCCTAATCATGCCGAAAACAGGTCTAATTTCGACAACCGAAAAACAAGTTGGATTGTTTTTCTATCTTTTTTTCAATTTCAGAGACCTTATCTGTTGCCTATCCGAAGGCTTGAGCACGGAACATTTTAAATTAGGTTCTTTTCATGATACTCACAACTTTGTGATAATTATTTCCCCTATCCTTGCTTTTTGCATTATAATTACGTACTATACTCATATAAAACTGTACACTATATTGTTACAAATGCAGCTAATCTTATAAAAGAAAAAAATGTGTGTACAATCTTTGCTTCTTATTGATAAGAAGTTTGAAATATTTTCATCTTAATTTCAAAAACCAAATAGTCCGATTTGTGCTAGAGTTAAAAAAAGAAAACAACAATTAAAAGAAGCACAAACTGAGCTCGAAGAAAGAAGAAGATGAAGAATATATTTAAAGTTTATTTTCTAGAACTTAACCTAAGTGCATAGATAATGGAGAGAAGCCTACATGTACCAAATATTTTCTGAGTCTGGAGAGAAGAAATTGTAAAAAAAAAAAAAAAAAAAAACAAAAAAAAAAACGTATAACTGATAATGGTATTGTCACCTAGCTGGCAGTCTGATATTCTAACAGCAGTATATTCATGTGGGAACATATTAAGTTATACAACGCAGAATTGGAAAGCATCATTAGTATACTGAACACATTGATGTATTTGCGCTTAAAGAACTTGAAGGTTTGATATTAAAAGAGGAATTCCTACAATTTATGAAAATATTTAATAATATAGATCAGATACAATATTGGTTCCAGAAAACTTTTATCAAACCTTTATTTCAAACCGTTACACAAACAATGGAAGCTTTAACGAAACTATGCTCCAACATATTTCGATGGAGGTATTTATAAAATTTTGATGATAAAAAATACTATACTAAAGGAACAGTAAGCAAACGTGACGCCATAGAGCTTTTTTTTCAAAATTAAAAGAAACTTCTTTTCTCAGTTTTTTATTGACATTCATTTATCTATTCATATGATAATTTTCGCTTCTATATCACCAAGCAACACTAAATATGTACATATGTTTTGATAAATCATCTATGAATATGTTTTGTTAAATATATTCCGATTCTTTCCTTAAGTAGCTATTCTAGCGGATTTTCTCGTTATTTCCCGATAATGACGAGGAGAACACGGCGAAAGTTACCGGTCGGCATAGGATGCTCACTTCTCCATGGCACCTGATACCACCTCGGATGTTTTGGAGGTCTATGTTTGCTCTGCTCCAATTTTGTATTGTTTAATGGACTATTGAGCTCGAATAGTGTTCGTTATCTCCATTTGCTAAATTTGACAATGGAATTTTTGCCTACCTAATCGCACTGGGAGCATGACCAGTCAATAGGGGGTGCTTACTCCTTTTAGGGATTGAACCCACCTCTGAAATTTCCTGAGGTCCATTTTTAATGCCCAGTGTTCACAGATTTGTTTTCTTTGTAGATTATTTAAGTTGGATCACTCGTCGTTATTTTCGCCTTCTTATTTAAGTGTATCCTCATTATTTTCATTGGACTACAAATCTGTCCTGTCATTTAATTTGTCCTTACCGTAATAAACAATTTGAACAATAACTTATCGTAAAATAATTTGAAACTAAACTAGAGGTTCTGAGAACACTGAGCTAACAAAATGATACCACTGCCTCCGATATGATTATAATGACAAAGTCTATGTTTTGAATTGGGAGACCAGAAATTAGTGTCAGATCAAAAAGTTAAAATAGAAGTCCTACTTGTCTTTGACATCTGATCCCACCTTTAGTATTTTCAGGGTTCATTTTTTTTCTCTTCACAATATATATTCTTTACTAGAATTATGAGGTTGAAAAGTTAGATATCTTATCCCTTTTCTCATTAAGCTTCATTATGAACGACCTTTTAACCTCAACAGTTCAGTGTTGAATTTATATAGGAGACGCAGAGTGTCGACATTCGTCAAGGTCGATTTAGCCTTTTCATACAATATTATAATGCAATATGATTACATTCTCTAGGTTTTCGTTTTTTGTCATCTTAAGATAATTTTTATTTAATATATCATAAATTTGATATTCACAAAAAAAGTCTATTGCAATTTTCCTAATTTTGCAAATGCATATATGATATCAGCATCATTTCTCTTGATAAACAATATCTTTTCAAAAATGATGAGTTAATGAACTCTGGTGTCTTATAATAAATATACCTATGTACTATATATTGCATATTTTAAGATTTGAACATGCCAAAGTTTTTTTCAAAGATGACATTGCCAGTATTTAAAACTATTTTTTTAACTATCCAATGCAATACGAGAAGATTGAAAATGTAAAAAGAAAGGCAACAAATTCATGATTTTGATAAAATTCAGATTAAGATTTAATCTAAAGATGCTCTGCTAAATGTGTTCAGTTTGTGCACACAACACACGTTAGATACATATTATTATGATAAGGAGGACATGGCAGCGAGCCACACACCGCTTTGACGGAGTGGACCCATTTTCCATTGTCGTTACGCTCTCCTGCTCTTAGGGCCTCAGGATGTTCATCAACACAGATGTACTGTGACGCTGCCTTACTTGCATAGTATCCGCTTGCCAGGTATCCGTGATATTGTTCAGTCCACCCCGAGTAGCAGCTGTTCTTTCCTGGAATCATCAACACGCTCGACTGTGTCTTCCTTCTACAAACCACACAAGGCAAGTCGTCTCCATCATGCAGACCAAAGTCAGTCGAATCGTATTCTGCTCCATACATAAAAGAGTAAGAAGAGGTAAAATTGGTGGTCAGGTTAGGGTCGGGTGGCAAGCAGACAAATTCAGCTGCAGCACCAGTGTGATCATACCAAGATCCTCCGCCAAATCCTACAAAAGGACAAACACTACACCAAATCTTTCTAATTATAATTTTAGCCATATGAAATTTCATGATTTCAGCAAATTCATGAAGATATCGAGGATTGAAGTCGAACAATAAACTGAACTCTGGCTTTTCTTTAAAAATAAGTAATTATATTTCTGTGTAAAGCTTGGACCTTAGATGTCACAACCATTACAAGGAACAAAAATAAATAAATAAAAAAATCAGTCATTTTAAAAAGATAAATATGGCTAATTAAAGCCCTTCAGATTTTTAAGTAGAAAAACTTAAAAGAAATAAAAATTGATCTTGTGGAAGAGGTCTATGGGTTACCGATTGTTTTTGTGTACACAAATCCTTTGAAAACAAATCTCCAGCAACGCTAATCACATTGTCTGATTTGATGGACATAAACTAAAATATAAAACCATAACACTAAGGATCCCGTACTGCAAATATGGTGCAATTAACGGCTCAAGGTTTTCTGTGCACTTTTGAGAAGAATTTCTTTATTTCCAGCCTTGGTCAATCAATTACATTTCACTCCCTAATTCTAGACATATTTTAACAAACTTGTATATTCGATTCACCTCCTAACCTTTTTAAGTTTCCTACCATCCGACAACATTTCAAAACGCTAAGTTCTACAGCTACGCAATAAAGTGCTCTGCGTATGAGCAAATTCTCAAACAAGACAAGCTGTTGCAAAATAAATTGATGAAACAAGGATATCAACAACGGTCTCGTTTAAAGTGAAAAATTTTGCAAACTATATGGCCGATAAAATGATTTTGTCAACAAAAAAGAAAATATTCTAAAGTCGAACTTTATTGACTTTTCTTCTTCTTCTTCTTCTTCTTCTTTTTTTTTTTTACAAATTTTTAGAGCATTATATTCATAGAACCTTTTCATAGAACCTTTTCATTTCCTTTTTTCCACGAACTGTGATAAAAGTGCCTTATATATTTATTCATAATATTTCGTTTATGTATAAATAATTTAAATAATTAACTAACTTTCTTTCTGCGCTTCCAATTTCTTTACTGAATATAACATCATCGGTTCTCTGATGTTAGTAGGATAATGCTAGTTCTATCCTATGCTTACTGATGCTGATCCTGGTAATGTTGTTTTTTAAATGCTGATCCTGAGGCTAGTTATATGCTGATGCTTATTTTGCTTATGCTGATGCTGATTTATGTAACAAAATTAATTCCCTGCACTGTATACAGGTGGTATATGCTTGAAAAGTTCTTGAAAGGGAGACACAAAGCAACATACACTCAATCAACCATAAAGTTTTTTAAAAAAAAATACTTGAGTAAACCAGTTCTGTTTCGTTATCTGAAGGACATTCCTTTCGTCCCCACCGTACAAACACCCCACTGGCTGTAAAAAATAAGTATACGTCTTATAATGCTGAGTATAAATTGGGAAATAGATCAAAATCATTTAAAAAAGTAACCAAATTACGAACAACTTCTCAATGTTCCAATTGCTCTCAAATTTCACTTTCAACAGATTTTATCAATTTATTTACTTGGATTTAATATTAACAATTGTATCTTCTCGCTTTTTTTACTTATGTGATATGGGATTGATATATATTCTCAACAGGATTCCACAACATCTAAGCCGTTAGAAGTCTTTTTTCAACGAATGCATATGGTTTGAAAGACAATGGCGAAATTATAAAAAAAAAAATAAAATCCTTGGACCTTTTCTTATTATTGGATAGATGGTAAAAAAGAGGTTCTGTCATTTGAGGCTTGATTGTGCCTATCAAATGGACTCCAAAAATCAGAAGATCAGCAGATAACAAAAAATCTGCAAAGATGTTTCATTCTAAATCTTGACTAAATAATTGTTCCTATCAAAGATAAATTCTACCTAAGAATGCTGAGAGGTTCAAGACTAGATCAGCATTCTTTAAGATAAATTCTAAAGCATACGTTCAAAACATGCATGTTTATGTAATTAAGTTGAAACAAAAAAAAAAAGAACATAGCATGTCAATTCATGAAACTGTCAGTAGAAATAATAGCCAAAGTTATTGACCAGCTGAACAGAAGACATGTATATAAGAAAAAAGGCATACATGTACTTCGGCCAGGTTTGCTCCTGGTGCTTTCCACATGTCAAAGTTATACCATAAAAGAAAGGATAGTATAATGTGTCAGATAAGGCAAATATGTTTTGCAAATGCATGTGCTAGCAAAGCCATCAGCCAATTCATCGAGATGTCAAGATAATATCCACAAGACAATACTCATCAGCTACAAGGTATACATGGATACATTATCAAGGGAATGATAAGAATGGAGTACGACCAATTTCATTCCTGCTTGTGCAGATCAATATAGAAGGTTCACGACGGGTGCATTCGGACAAAATGGAATACTTATTCCCTCTAGGCATACCTGTTTACACCTCCGGTGTTTACAGAGTACCATGTTTTATATAGCCCCGTTCAGATTCAAATTCTCTACTTTCTCAATTGGATATTTCCATCTCTACTTGACAGTGCCTCCACTTTGTGATTGGGATGCCCGAGTTCGATTCTTATTTGTATTGCCGTGTCAAACCTAGAACCTAAGGTAATGACTTCTACTTCGACAAAAGCCCGGCATCAGGGACGATAGTAACTGGTCTTACGGATGAGTCCTAAAACAATTTCCTTTTCATGGTAGATATCAACACGATGAACTTGCTTAATTCACTACGGAAATCCCCAAAAGGTTGATAACTTCTATAATCCGTTCTCACGTCACTGAGCAAGGTACATGTACATCGTACCAAGCCTACCAATTATTGAACCTTCTAACCAGTTGACTTTTCAAGGAATTGTCTTAGACGTAGACCACTGTAAATCACTTTTCATTTGCGAGAACTAAAATATCATTCTTGCATGAATTAGTATTCAAAAAGATTATAGATCAGCTACCACAATACGTGAAAATTTTGTCTCACTAATAAAAAGTTGATGTCTATCTCCCGAAAATAAGGTTTTGCAAAAATTTAGTGATCTATAGTGTACCTTCGCTTGTGATCCCTATTGCAGGGACGTAGCAACAGGGGGGCCAGGGGGGGGGGGGGGCTGGCCCCCCACTTTTTTCCCGAACCTTACTTATACTATAGGAAATGCTAATCAAAAATGTTGTTGCCCCCCCCCCGCCCACTATGAGTGATGTACGGAAAATATAGTATAGGAATTGGTACTGAAAGTAGTTGACATGAAGAAAAAGTTGGCCTCTAACCCCCCTTCGAAATAGGATTTTCGACTTTGGGCAACTTTGGACAACTTTTCCCTTTTTTTTTTTTGCTTGTCAACTTTTCAGGTTAGTAAAAAAAATTTCTCTGGCTGCCCCCCCCCCCACTTTCAAAAACGATGCTACGTGCCTGTATTGTAGTACTTTTGTAATGAAAATAAGCTTCCAATAAAATAAATACCATTTTTAGAATTATTCTTTATTTTTTGATAAAAGCAAAATAATTAACAATCTTTTGTAAAAGTTTCTGAAAAAGAATTACCGGAAGTTTTTAATGTCGCAAGATCTGAATACTTCGTCGATAAATCAGAATACTTTGTAGATAAATCTGAGTACTTCACTAATATTTCCTGATACTTTCTCTCCAGGTCATGGATCTGAGACAAGATCACGTCTGGGTCATTCAGCAAAATCCTCTTCTCAGCGTGTCCGATTATAACTTGTATGAAAATAAGCAAATTAAACCGTGAAAGGCTTTCATTGTTTACCGCAGATTAGTCGAAATGCAATAAATGTATATATATATATATATATATATATATATATATATATATATATATATATATATATATATATATATATATATATATATATATATATATATATATATACCAAAAATACAGCAATGACAATTGTTATACCTTTAAAAAATTGTTTCTTTACAGATCTTTACCAAAAAAGTGTAAATTTTCTAATGTTTTACTGAGCGGGCATAAAAAAGATGTTTGACTACTTAGTGAGATGTTAGACCTGTCGATACGTCACACAATGGGCGAAGCTAAAATCTTATTTACATTGATTTCGTTGGAGTTTAAGAGTGACGGGCCTTATCCTAGTCTACAAAACCGTATTTTTTTTCTCCGATTGGTGTTCAAAATTTTATTACAATAGTTTCTTTATTTCATATGTACATAGAGACTCAATACACCTCACATGAAAAGAAAACAAAAGATGCATAACAGTCCTTCACATCTGTTTTGTATCTGGACATTTTAATGGAGTGGGGCGTTAGTGGTGATAAAGCAAATGTGATTTTTTCAACTTTTTCAATCGTCGCTTATACACTAAGGACTAACAATTGCCGAATGCGAGCATTATTTAAAACAAGGCAAAATGCTGACAGACAAGGTGAAGATAAACGTTATAAACAGTCTTATTTAAAGTCAACATTTTGAAAATAGTATGATCAATTCAAAATCAGCAAATACATTTTCCATTAAAGACCCAATTTTTAAGCGGTTAGCTTCGCTAGCCGCTTTATGGCATGTGTCGACACCGGAAACTTCCATAAGGCGCTACCTATCGACAACGGAAACTTCAACAAAGCCTCTACCTAGTACCTATGATTTGTTTCTAACACATATAACATATGTTTAATAAAATCAAGACTATCAAAACAACATAATCTTTTGGTTTTTAAATTTTTTTCTGATTTTGTTTGTCAATGAAATAAATTTATAATTGTTGTATTAAAAAAGTTTATGTATAGAAGCATTTGGTGTCAAGATTATGGCGGTCGGGCCCTATGACGAAATTCGAAGTCAGCATGGAGTTAAGCTGATAACATTATCACGTTAGATTTAAACTTTAGGAAGAAATGTATAGCGAGAAATATATTTGAATCTAATGCTACAAGAAAACCAGTAGGCATTTTCGATTTATGTGTTAAATTGAAGCCTGAATCGAACAGGGGGTCAAACTGGCGTTGGACACCTTGTGTATTTATATATAGAAGGGGTAGAATGTTTCGATATTTGGCTAATTTAGAGACTTACTGATAAAAATTCAGGTGCCTGTGATTAATTACAAGGCTACTCTCATGAACAATAAATATTTGACCTAATTATGCTACTGGACACAGGGAGGACGGGTTAATTACTGGCTAAAGGGGTTGAAGGTTATTACCAACTGCAAAACATCGGAGAATCTCTCAATCGAGTTTCATTTTCCAAAATATTAAGGCATCCCTTCAATTAACTTAAGTTATACTAGTACACAAAGAAAGCCTTTATATAAAAATACTGAAGTAAGTTGTACAGTTATGGATTACTTCCATAATGAAACGTTTGTTTTCTTCTCCTTTTTTTCTCAATTGAAATTATTAAAATGATGATAAAAGCTTTGTTTCCAGGGAAAAATTCATTTTCAAAAAGTGGGAATAGATAGAATGAACCCACCTGCTGACCTGCAGTGAGCCTACGATACTGAAACTCTCTGAAATTACCTTAATTAATTCTCTGCTCGTCCATCCGTTTTTCTCAGACTAGCAAGCTAAAGATGTATGTACAATACTCCAAATCAATTAATCTAAAGAATTTGAATTATCATTTTATTTTCTTTTTAAGTTGTTTGCTATAGAGCCTTTATAGTTACCTAATTTCAGAATCAATAGAGCATGAAAGCCAATAAAATTGGCAACATCAACATAATTTTTTTTCTTTCTGAGCACTTTTGGACGCCACCAATGGAGACAATTAGGGAGAAAAATTTTTGAAATTGAACTTTCTGTTTTTCAAACTGAAAATCGCAGGTTGATATTTTGAAACAAACATTTGTGACATCAGTCTGGGATGTTATTGGTTATACCATTTAGTTAAGTACTACAAAATTCATTGTGTCTGCTTCTTCGCTGATGACACTGGAAAAAGATATGCATGCCTACTTAATATCATCATTCAATGCATTTTTTTGTGATTGTACACTGTACATATTCGATGAAAGCATGCTAATCGCTTTTCAGTACTTTCAGTACTTTGATTTTTTACCGTACGGTTACCTGAGGAGAGGGAGTGGTCAAAGTAACAGTGGTGTTATTTACCTGGAGACCCCCAATACCCAAGATGTCAAAAATCTGTGTAAACGTAGCATTACACAGGAAGTCTGTGTTTGGTATTCAGGGTCAACATTACGTGTTTTGTGTTTGGTTTTGAGTGAAACTACATAAAATAATTATTTTAATATGGAATTTATTTGTAAACTAAACGCATTCATCGTAATCATGGTAATGTTTTGAAGGAAAAAAAATAATAAGATAATAAGAATAATAAGAAAATGTTTTCCTTGCATAAAAGAAAAATTCACGAGTAAAAACTACAAATCAATAATATTTATCTTTTTTAATCTTCAATAAACGAAATCACTAGATTAAAAAAGTCTGACTATTGAAATAAAAAATTATTGATCCACCCATTCGTCGTGTATGTGAATATGCATTTACCGCGATCGGAATGTTGTTTTTTTTTATGGCCAACAATGTTGTCCAAATTATTCCATATTTTTTTATTCTTCGTATGTTAACAAAATTTTATTGTTAGAAAGATTTCTTTTCAGAATCGATCACTATTAATTATCTTCACATTTTCATTTCATTTTCAGACGCTAGAGGAAATTCGAGCATTAATTCTGACATCAATTTCTGTACAACATCGTGCGGATTGTAGCCATAGTACAAAATAAAACGTCTTTTAAAAACTATGCTATGCTGTTTATTAGTGCTGAATATTTTTCTTATATCCCATTTCTTAAAAAATAATTTGATTCGGACTTCTAATTACGGCAAATAGAGCCGGTTTCTGTGGACGCGGTCTTTTTTCTACAGATAAACGTGGACGATATAACACTTACAAGTAACAAACAGCAGTGAAGATAGAAAAGAAATATTTTATCATGTCAATGTTTTAATAATCTACTTTCAATTATTTTTTTGAAATAAAATTCAAACATATTGGAGTTTTCTAATCCGCGTGTATACTTTGCGGATACATGAAAGCGTTTGACGCGTGACCAGGTAATTGTTTTCAAAACATGCAAACTCAGATTATCAGGAAGCACAGGTAGCTGACCTGTCAATCAAATCAGAAGCTATTGTTTTTTTAATGATTGACAGGCGGTAAATTATTGATCTTGAATCAGGTAGATTTTGGGAGCGTTAACATAAAATTGGGTGTTTAATTCGACTTGTGACCGACGTTTTTCATACTTATAGTTAAGCCATTGTTTACATTACTGATTGTCTACGGACTAATATATGCTTGCCCGATCATGACAAGGGACGAACGAAAAGTTCAACTGGTCTCCAGACACCTGATCCCATCCCTGATTTTTCAGAGGCCTGTGGTTGTTCTGCTCGTTTTTGTACTGGAGTTTTGAGCTTGATTACCGTTTGTTACTCCCATATTTTAGGCGGATATCCTATAATATTTAATTTATTTTCACTTACACAAAAAACCATACGAATAATTAAAGAATTTATTATTTATTATTTAAGAAAGAACACAGCATGGGAAACAACGGGGAAAAAAATCAATCATATAACAAAAAATCCATAAAAATAATTTAGATAAAACTTGCTTTCTACAACTTTTTATTTTTACTTTTGTGGTAGCGGAACTAGACATATTGTTATTCGATTCCGTGAAACGGTTTGCTCACCAATAAAGCACTGTCAATAAGTTTCTAATTCTACACTTTTATAATAATCAGATGTCGGAAACATATTAGAAATAATGTTTATAATATTATTAGAATTTCAACGAAAAACAATAGGTGTATACGCTGCAATATTCATTAACATTTTTTGACCAATCACTTTAGTCGGACTGGAAGTTTTTTCTACATTACCATGCAAAGTAGCATTAACTTCGAATTCATTTGCTACGCTGTAAGAGTATTGTTGAAATTGCAGAAGACACTATGTCAATTCTGCTTTAGTTTCTAGCCTCTCTCTTAGGTCTCTTGCAACTGTAGATTTTGTCTATGATTTCATGTTTGGTGGTCAGGTTAGGATCACGTGGTAGACAAACAAACTCAGCTGCAGCACCAGAATGATTAGTCCAATATCTACCACCAAATCCTAAACAATAAAAAGAGTAAACGTTTAAAATGAAAAAAAAAAATTAAATTGATGAATACATCCAAAAACATAGAAGCGGGTGCTTGTAGAATCTCATGCAAGCATTAAGTTGATCAATAACAAATAATGTAAAAAAAAGTATGTTTTTACGTACCCGAATAAACAAGTTCTGTTTCGTTATCTGAATGACAATCTTTTCGCCCCAAACGGACAAACACTCCGCTAACTTAAAAAATGGTTTATTCAATTATATATTTTCTTGAAAAATGTTTTATCCTTATTTTAGAAAAAAAGATACAGAAATACAAGTATACTGATAAACATTTAATAGTTCGTTCTCTAACAATCATATACATGTACATGTATATTAAAATGTGCTAAGGCAAAGTATGGTTACATTTAAGACCTAAAGAATAAACAATTACAACTGTACTAGGAAAGCAGAAAAAAAAATAAAATACACAATAAAAAATGATTAACTGGGCAGGCAATCTCAATGAATATCCCCTACTTTGATATCTGTAGGTAATCTTACTACCTTTTATCCAAGTCGTTATACGTGGATCATTTGTTGTAAATTTTTTTTGCAATACCACTGAATTTGAAAGATGTTCTCTCCAAGTCATGTATATGAGACAAGATCACGTCTGGGTCATTCAGGCAAATTCTCTTCTCAGCATGGCCGATTAGAACTTGTATAAAGAGGACAAAAAAAAACCTAAAGGTTTTTTCATGTCTTCGATAGGACTAACGCAGATCAACCGAAATGGAATAAATGTGCACAAATGATAGATAAGACAACGAATAGTATATTTCCCGATCATGTGCTGTTAGTTGTGAATTCGTAGGTTACTAAAACTAATAAAAACATTTGATATTATGGTAGCATTAGATAATTTCCCTGTTTTAAACAGTAAAATATATATCCATTTATTTAAATATATATTTATATATATTTACAGTATAGCAATGACAATTGTTATTCCTTTAAAAATTTGTTCCAATACAAATCTTTACCAAAAAAGTCTAAAATTTCAAATGCTTTACTGAGCGGGCATAAAAGAAATCGATATTTGACCACTGAGGGAGATGTTGTACGCTTATAGAAAAAACATTCAAATGAAAGGTATAACAAAACATTTATTGATTGTGTTCTCGGGCATGTTGCGTTTTGTCGATCGTCGAACCAAACTGTCTGCATTCCGCTTAACGGCCTCAGGCAAACGGTTTGGTTCTTGGGTCCAACAACCCGCATGTTGCACTCGAATTCGGTCAATAAATGTACGAGAATGCAATCTCTAACCTGCATCCCTTTTTAAAGCTTAAAGAGGTGAACAACACTGCCGAAAATACGTTAGTTTTAAATATTCCTCTTTAGAAACAACATAAACAATAAATATTCTTCACTTGATATACAAGAATGCATATTGTGAGACCTAAAAATGAATAGAAATTTCCCTTTATCTTTAACGTGAAAAGATATTTGAAAATGTATTTTATTTGACTTAAAGTGAACTTTTCGTCAAACTGTTCTCTTTTCAGTAGGAGTATTGTCTGAAATTTGAACCAGGATCGATTTGTCAATGAACAAACTATTTTGCCTGGTAGGTCGGTAGGTTGATTTGAACTTTATTCCGACCTTATCCTATCCTAGTCTACAAAACCTTATTTCCTCTCCGATTGGTGTTCAAAATATTATTGACAATAAATAAAAATAAATTTCTTTATTTCATATGTGGATGTAGACTCCACGCACCTCAATTGAAGAAATAACAAAAGATGCATTACAGTCCTACAAATCTGTTTTCTATCTGGACATTTTAATGGAGAGGGACGTTAGTGGTAGCCTGACAAAATTTATAAAGCAGATATGGTTATTTCAGCTTTTTCTATTGTCGATTTTACACTAAGGACCAACAATTAACATTTATGTCTTCAATTTGTTTCTTTACACTCCGTATACGAACAATATTTAAAACAAGAAAAAATACTGACAGACAAGTTGAAGAAAGGCTTATTTAACGTCATCATTTTGCAAATAGTATAATCAATTCAAATAAGCAAAAAAAAAAATCTCCATTAGGTCGACTTGAGACCGACGTTTTTCATACTTATAGTTAAGCCATTGTTTACATTATCGATTGTCTACGGATTAATATATGCTTGCCCGATCATATCAAGGGACCAACGACAGGTTTAACCGGTCTACAGAGGATATTTACTACTCCAGACACCTGATCTCATCTCTGATTTTTCATAAACTACACAAAATTTACAGCTCTGCTCCTTGTGTTTATTTTGTGCACACAACACATGTTAGGTACATATTGTTGTGGTATGGTGGGCATGCCAGTGACCCACACACAGCTATGACAGGGTAAACCCATTTGCCATTGTCATTACGTCGTCCTGCTGTAAGAACATCCGGATGTTCATCTAGACAGATGTATTGTGTTGCAGCTTGAGAATTATAATGTCCCGCTGCAAGGTATCCATGATATTGCTCCTTCCAACCCGAGTAGCAGCTACTCTTTCCTGGTATCATCAACACGCTCGACTGTCTCTTCCTTCTGCAAACCACACAAGGCATATCATCTCCATTCTGATGACCAAAATCAGTGGAGTCGTATTCTGCGCCAAACATGAATGCACGGGAGGAGGTGAATTTGGTGGTCAGGTTAGGATCACGTGGTAGACAAACGAACTCAGCTGCAGCTCCACGATGATCATGCCAGGATCCAGCTCCAAATCCTGAACAATGTACACATGTATTATTTAACATAATTCGTTATCAGTTTAATCTATATGTACTTTAAGACTTTGAAAGAAAAAGAAATTAAGAAAGAAAAACTTAAGGAGAGATTTTCGTCTTAAAACTTGAACATAACAACTTGCGTCATGTTTTAATGAATAAAATATACAAGATTCACTGCATAGTTTTTAGTATTTCATTCAAAGTTTCACAATAATGGGATTTGAAATGAAAAATAAAGATACTAAGGATAGTTGCAGAACGGTAGTGTATAATCTGAGTTGCCAACGTCACAATGACTTACGTCAAAAACGTATCAATTTGCTTGACGTTACTTTTAAAATATGAACAATTTAAAGACGTTCTAAGAGAGAAATTGTCTTGTTTTCTATACTTAATAATTGAAAATTAGATGTATTATTTTCATCATTTACAACAAAAATAGACCCAAAAATATAGACCAATCCAGGCATCCCTTTTTTTGTTTGTATCATCTGTTATTAATAATGTATATGGTGACTAGATAATAATAATATTGTACCAAGGTTCTCTCAACTCACCCGAATAAACCAGTTCTCTTTCGTTATCTAAAGGACAGTCCTTACGTCCCCATCGTACAAACACTCCACTGGCTGTAATTATTGTAAATTAATAAATGACATTTAAAAAATGTAATCAATGTTAATCTTTCAACATGTGTATTTGTTTCAAAATAAACATTACTTGTTTTGAACATTGTTAATTCTGCTGACATTATATATTTTGTTTACAAAGTATTATGGCTAAATTAAGCTTGGAAACTGGTACATGTAACATACTATTTGAAATAATCATAAAAATTATATATCATTTTACGCGTTACCTAGTATCTTAATTTTTTTTCTCAACAGCAATTTCCTTTTGTCTGATGACATTATTTAAATACATTTTTCGAAAATTGCAAAAGATGAATGACAAGCAAACTAGAAGTTAATCAAATGGATTTGAGGCGATCACTTTAAAAAGCCGTACAATCATTACAAATATATTTGGAGAACATAAAATTCATTGCAAACCACTTAATTTTGAGCATATCAATGTGGCCCATTTTAGGTAAAGATCTTGTAAATGAAAGATGCCTACAAATTTCTTAAAACCGGAAAACATACTCCTCTAATGTAGCTTGGTAGAATATGTGTATCAGGACTTAATTTCTTGCATAAATATTGGAAATCTAAGGCAATGGAAATGTATCAGTATTATCTACAGTTTCTCAAAAAACCGTTTTCGATCTTATCTTCATGACCTCTTCCACAAATGATATTAGGGACATGGATACCGGTCCTTCGGATTAGACCGTATAAACCGAGGTCCCGTGTCGCAATAGGTGCTGGCAGGAAAAAAAGATCCCTCACTGCTCAATAGCCCTGAGTGCCGAGTATAGGACAAAATTTGTAGCTCTCCACCGGCAAGTCGTGGGTCTACAAATAAGTGAAAAATTCTTCAGAGGACCGTTTTACAACATACAATTAATGAATGAAGCATATTGCGATAAAGAACAGTATTCGAGATCAAAAACCCATAAAACAATACAAATAGGAGCAGAGTAAACACGGACCTCCAAAACATCTTAGGTGGCATCAGGTCCCAACATGGAGGAGTGAGCATCCCTTACCGACCGGTCTCATCCGCCATGTGCTCTTTGTCATGATCGGGAAAATACCGGGAAAATCCCTCGTAAATTCAGTGTTTAACTAATGGACTAACAATTAGAATAAAAAACATCAATCGGCATTTGACTAAATGAAAAATTGTATTTGCTGATACGGTCATTGTGTCGACCATAGAAATTACGAAATGATGACTTTAAACGAGACTTTTGATGTTCTTGTTTCAGCAAGGCGCTTGTCAATAATTTACCTCGTATTAGTAATTGTTCATACCTAGAGCATGCTCTTGCGTATCGAATCAACTGAGATATATAAAAATGACTAACCGATAAGTCCTGTATAAGTCAACGTCAGTTCCAAAGTTGTTATTTTCAGACCTTAGTTCGCGGAATGTTTTTCCGTAGAGTAAATGATAAAATAAAATAAAATAAAATAAAATACCTCCATGATTAGCAGCTTGATGGTATTTGGAAACTGTGCTTGTTTTCCTCTTTTCCTCATTTCAAATTAGATGCATTTAAAAGGTGTTTTTATAAAGCGCAATGAACAAATTTAACCTTAAATTACAATTTCATGCCCCTTATAAAATAAAACGAATTATAAAGCTAAAAGAGCGGATATCTAAAAAAGCAAATTACCATAAGATTTTGGAGATGTAGCATTGAATTTCACATTGAGTTCATCTATTCTCCTCACAACTTCTGAGTATTTCTTAGATGCATTTGAATACTTCTTAGATATATTGGAATACTTCATGGATATATCGCAATACTTCGTTGACAGTTCAGAATACTTCGTTGACATTTCCGAATACTTCGTCGACATATCCGAATACTTGGATAACAAATCGTCATATTTTCTTTTTAGGTCATGGATTTGAGACAATAGCTCTTCTGAATCATTCACCAAATTGTTCTTTTCAGCCAGTCCAAACACTACATGTATAAAGAAAAAAGACATATAAAACTCTATCGCCATGTTGGTAAAAATGAATTAATCCTATCTTTATTTTCAAAAGAGGTTATTTATATAAAAATGTGAGATTTAAAAAAAATCAATCAATATTATTTTACATCTGGTGTCAGCTTGAGTGTGTGTTACTTGCTATTATAGAAAAATTGCTGTAATAAATATTCTTGAAACGCAAGATACTTAATTAATATGTTTGATTCACAATTAAAGTTTAAAAAAGATTAAAAAAGGCATCAACCTGTCGACATTAAGGCTAAACAATTTCCATTATGGATATTTCAAAACAAATAAACTGGAAGGAACAAAGAATGTTCTTTGCCGAATAGATTGAGAACTATTTATGAGGACATTTAAAAATCAAAATACTCAGAAGTACAGAGAACCGGGCTCATTTACAGATTAAAATGAATTTCTTACATGAATCACGTTTATATTTTGATGAAAAAATTATTTTAAAACTATCAATATAAATGATAAGACACTGACAGTGAGTTTTTCAATCCTAATACCACGATCCGATTTTGTCAGAATCAGAATTAATCTGGTATCGCAGCTGAATGTAAACAAACAGGCCAGTCTGGTTCCCTCTCCTGCTTTACCTCGTATGTGTAGAGAACTACGATAACACTGGTTATCAAAAATCCTTACGCTAATGAACTATGTTCTTTGACTTAGGACTGAAGTTTTCAAAGTCATTACTACTAATGTTTATTTATATAGATTAAACTTCGTTTTATTTTTGTTGTTTTATTTAGCGTTTGTATTATCTCAAAAGCGGTTGAGAGTAAGAACTATATTTTTGCACGTAACTTTAAAATGGCGGCTATGTGGTCAACTTCCTGCCTTAAACACGATGACATAAGCCGGCAATTGCTCTTTGAGCAATAAGCCCGGCTAATCATATGTAAAAGAAAACTTGAAGTTGTAATTTGTTTTTTTTTTGCTTTGAATTCGAAATAATTTATAAGGAAAAAAGTATGGTTAGTATTGTTAAAAGCTCAAAGAAATATTACAACAGAAAAAATTATATGTGAATTTCAATTAAAACCTACGATAAGAAAATTAATACTGCTGAACTGTACTCTCATTTTGTTAGCTTAAAGAATACAAAAACTGTGTTCAAGCCAAAGGAAGTTATTTATTTAGTATCCGTTTATAGCAAAAGTGAGAATGCACTACATTCATTACTCTATGTTCTATTGTATTTATTGGATTTTTATACAACAGCTGTGTTGGACAGTGATATCTACGTCACTGAAGAATTTTAAGATTGCTTTAAAAAACTAAATAATAAATATATTTCTGAACATAGAATTATGACTTATCATATTTTTTGTATATCTAAGAGCCTTAGGCTTATTTGAGCCTTGTTTTCCTTTACAATGTTTCCATAAAAAAGAAGAAGAAAACATTCATCATTAAATATCGAGGCACAAGGAGGTCAAATTATATACGTAACCCGAAATGCCTGGAAAACTAAATTAAAGGGTTTAAACTTAAGAACATCAATTTATTTATAGTAATATATACTCACAATCATTAGAAATGCAACACCCTAATTTTAGGGTGAAAATTATATGCGGGATATAACTATGTACCAAAAAAGTTAGGGCATCTTTTACTTTGACAAATCAGTTATTTAACGGTTGATTTTTTTTTTTCATTCCATTACCGGAAGTTGATTGTTAGCCCTCTAAACAGATAACTTTTAAAACATCCCCCCTTCCGACCATTTTATTAAAACGTGCTAGTCCGCCATGTACAACATAAGCAGCCCGATTTCTACCATGCATTAGGTTTATCAATGTCTTTATCTGAGCGAAATAAATATTCTTGAGCATTTTTAAAAGCCTGTTTTTCAGATACTGAGGTCGAATTTTCTATAGCCTTGCGTAGTGTAGTAACCCTTAGACTTCCGGTCAAGGAACTGCCATTCATGCTTTTGAAACACATGAGCCCGAAAAGTCGTTATGTAGTGTTCATTTGCATCTGTAGCTCTCCTTTTTGTTTATTTTGAGAATTTCCAGCATTAGCAATGAAAATGCGTGCCTTCAGTTATTTTGAGGAAATACAGGCATCATATCCGGAAGAGAAAAAAGGATATTTTTTCCGGGATTTTAGTACAATACTTAAAATTTACAGGTACAAAACCTTGAAAACCCAAAATATTGTCAAAAATTTTATTAAAAATGCTAATTTTTGATTTTTGTTAAGAGGGATAAAGACCAACTTCAAGTAATGGAATGAAAATCATTCAGCCGTTAAATAACTGATTTGGCAAAGTTAAACAATGTTAAAGATGTCCTAACTTCTTTGTTACATAGTTATATCCCGTACATTATTTTCACCCTTAAATTAGGGTGTTGCGTTTCTATTGATTGTGAGTATATATATATATATTTATCAAAAGTACAATTAAACTTACAGCAAGAATCAAAACATTCATATAACAGTGTCCCTGACTATATACAATGTTACAGTGAGAATATTCAAAACTTATCCTATTTCAGTCTTCGTAAATTGACTCTTTGGTACCCCACCCTTTTTGTACACCAGCTGTCATGATTATGAAGCTATCTTAGGACTAAGACATATCTTAAGACAAACTTACGACATATCTTAGTCTTAAGTGGGGCCAAAAAGTTGTCCTATCTTAGGAGAATTCCTAATCTTAGTCCTAACTTTAAGGTAGGATTCTTTTCACACAAAACTGTATTTCTTATATTTAAAAATTAATGAAATTTTCACAGAATCAAGAAGACAATATTACTAAGTGATGGTGTCAGTTAAATTAGTTTCGACCATTTTATATTAGAGTCAAGGTCAGGTCAATGTCATTGCCTTTTCCCTGGTCATTAAGAATAAAAATAACTGCATCCAATCATTATAAAGGGTCTTCTATTTCAAAAGATTAAATGTTTTTCTTTTTGCATAAAAAGATATTACCATATAGGGTCTATAAAATGATATTATCAAATTGACACAAATAGTTTAACAAAAATGGATTTTGGCTAATTCGAAGTTCCTCTATTTTTCTTCAATTTTTCGGATATTTAAGTTATTTTTATATGCGCCCTATATTTCATTTTTTCTTACTTTCACATATGGTAAAGATGTCATATAGAGATACAAAATGATACAAAAACAAAAAATTTCGACCGTTTAGTAAGAGAGTAAAAATACTTCCTTTGAATTTTTGGCTCATATCTGTACTCAGATTGGAAGCTATTAAAAGCTAAAATAATTGTAGTTTGTTTGGAAATTCATATTTATTTGATATATTTTAGAACTTAAGATCCTTACTATTAATTTAGTTTACATTTGAAAAATTCTTCTAGTCTTTGATTGTGTAAAAATTGTAATTAAATTCGTAACGGTTGTTCTATAATAATTTTGAGAGGCAGAAAAGAAGATATTTTCATACGCCACCATCTCACCAAAACTATAGTCCCTGCTAGTTTTTGAACTCAATTTACTATTTCTATTTAAAGTTGTACAATTGTGATGAGGAAAGAAGAATATGGTCTTCTAAATCTTTTCACCTAAATATATACGGAATATAGGCAAATATACATTGAATATTTCATCTACTCAGAAACCAGAGAAGAATCCTACCTTAAGACAACTACGATCTTGTCGTATGGCATACTAGTATCTTAGGTGATTTTAAGAAGCGCTGGTGCCAGGAAAACGACTAAAAATTATGTGTTTACGTAAGTAAATATACAATATTTGTTGTTGATTGTTAATTTCTTTTATTACATGCCCTAGTGTCTAAATAAATTTATTTACGTACCTTGGAAATTGAAGACAAATGCATGTATATACGAAATAGAGAAAATAATTCATAAAAATGCGTTAATTAATTGTTCCATTTAATTATCGCAGAACTTGTATGCAAAGATGACACTACAAATTAAAAGTTTAATGTCTACTTGTGGCAGATTTTTGGCCGCGGTGGAAATAAATAAATTGATTATAATTGAAACAACATACAACTGCAAGGGGATGCCAGTTAGCAAGAGCAAGCCCCAAGCACACAACATATTTACATTTTATGAGATATTCATGACAAATTACATCAACAATCAACGTTAGATCAACCTTTCAACATTATCAATAACTTCATTGTATTATCAACATCAACATCAAATTGTCAATATTTCAATGACTTTCAGTTTGTCTTTCATCAACATCAAAATCAACAACTGTATTTTTCAATGACAACATGTTAACAATCAATTATGAAGGGATGCCAACAGCACCGGCTTGATTAGCATGTGTGTCAGCATCCCCACAATACGTTATGCTACATTTCCGTAAGTTTTTATTTCCGGCATTGAACTTGAGTGGTAACGGTTGTTCTATAATAATTTTGAGAGGCAGAAAAGAAGATATTTTCATACGCCACCATCTCACCAAAACTATAGTACCTGCTAGTTTTCGAACACAATTTATTATTTCTATTTAAAGTTGTACAATTGTGATGAGGAAAGAAGAATATGGTCTTTTAAATCTTTTCACCTAAATATATAAGGAATATAAGCAAATATACATTGAATATTTCATCTACTCAGAAACCAGAAAAGAATCCTACCTTAAGACAACTACGATCTTGTCGTATACATATCTTAGGTGATTTTAAGAAGCGCTGGTGCCAGGAAAACAACTAAAAATTATGTGTTTACGTTAGTAAATACAATATTGGTTGTTAATTGTTAATTTCTTTTATTACATGCCCTAGTATCTAAATAAATTTATTTACGTACCTTGGAAATTGAAGGCAAACGCATATACAAACGAAATAGAGAAAGTAATTCATAAAAATGTGTTAATTAATTGTTCCATTTAAACATTCTAGGCATTTTAAATTAAAAGTGAAACGTTCTAGAAAAATTATTAAAACCCTTTCGAAATAGGCAATGTACATGTACGACCAATTTTTTTTATTGGGAAAAAGTGGGGTGGGGTAGGAGGATGAAGTCACATGATACCATTAGTATTTA